CATGCACTAAGGTCCTCTGGGAAGAATTTATTACAACCTATAAACATTAGATTCTCTGCAACTGCCTAGAGGACCTTTTCAGCTATCACTCCCAGACTTTGGAATGGATGAGATCTGTCATTTGACCACCCTAAACAGCTTTAAAAAAGCTGTTAAGACTAATCTCTTTCGGCAGGCCTTTCTTGAGTAGGTAACCAGCCACCAAAAGCAGTTAAGCCTGTCTCTGATTTTCATTTAGCCATTTTAAATTATTTATTACTTGTAATTTTTAATTATGTTTTTATATTTTGTTTGTTTAATTGCATTTTAAGGGGGGTGGGCTATTGGGGGAAGGGATTGTTTGTTTTATCTTGTAAGCCGCCTTGGTTGTTTTTACAGAGAGGTGGGATATAAATAAATTTTATTCTTCTTCTTCTTCTTCTTATTATTATTAGTTGTTCCCCTCTCTGCTCATGCTTATATGTACTTCATTTTCATGCTTTATTGGAACTATTCATGTTGCTTTTTAAATAATAAGATGATTTGAATATTTTTGTTCTTTTCTTTTGAAAAAATAACAGATATTGCTGTGGGAGCTCCATATGATGGGGATTTTGGCAAGGTGTACATATATCATGGCTCCAAGAATGGAATAATTACAAAACCGTCACAGGTACTAACTTGTAATGTCTGTCACTACCTATAGTGGAATGAAATTGCTGCTGATATACATGTAGTTTCTCCTAAATAGCTGACTACTCCTACTGCCTATTTTTCTTAGCCACCAACTTCTGTCTCTTATTTGACTTCTTCTTTTGACTCCAGCTGATATTGCCTTCTGTTCATGCCTGTAGGAATTGCCTACTGCAAGGGTGAAGAATCTCTGTCCTGCTAACCTCCATCATTCTTAACAACTGATGATGCTGGCTGGGTCTGATAGCATCTGAAGGTTCACAGTCCTAAGGTCCTTTCACATTACACAATTACAGCACTCTCTGATTCCACTTTAATAGCCATGGTTCTAGTCTATAGAATCCTGGGATTTGTAGTTTAGGAAGAGGCATTAAGAAGGCTCAGCCAGGGAGTCCTTTGATGCCTCATCAAATTGCAAAACCCCAGATTCTAGAGCAGGGGTCGGTCGCCGGACTTATCAGCCCAGGCCGATCCCTGCTGCCGCGTTTTCTCAAAATGGCAGTCGCAATGCGTTTGCGCATGCGCAGGAATACGAGTGGCGGCTGCCATTTTGTTCTCCCAAATGGTGGCCGTGACTCGTTTGCGCATGCGCAGTATTCCTGCACATGCGCAAACAGGTCGTGGCCACCATTTCGATTTTCAAAATGGCGGCCGCGGCACGTGCGGAGATGGCGGCGGCGGCAGCGCGCACGCATGTGTGAGCGCGCGCGCCACCATTATCCCCCCTCCCTCGGCCCAGCGGAGATGAGGACTTCAGGGGACTGGCCCAGGACCAAAAAAGGTTGCCTACCCCTGTTCTAGAGGATGCAGCTCCTGCCTCTTAGTCCACCACTTTTCCCACCAGATGTTAGGTTCTGCCTAAATCTCAGCTGTCACCATATGTGAAGATTTCCACAATCTCAGTGCTACCACCAAAATTGAAGGCTTTCCCTTATCCTCACCTCTACCACCAATGTAAGGATCCTCTGCTGACCCACTGTGGCCGCCAACGTGGAGACCTCATAAATGCTCTCATGATTTCTGTGTGGAATATTATGCAACTTCTATGCTCACTGGACAACAATTTTCTTTATCCTCTGCTGCCACCTCTCAGTCTTCCATCCCTGCTTTCCTTTTCCCCTCAG